ATATCCCCTCCATCTGAGTAGTTCGGACACGAACCATAGCACGGACAGAACCATGTGTGTACCGTTACCGAGCGTAACGACGTAGTTGACGTCCACTTTCTCAGGCGGCGCATCAGTATACGTCCGCTAGAACGGAATGATCCCGGTGGCCGCTCTCAGGTTTCTCTCTGGTAATATACAGACGCAACGTTTGAGGTTAGTTTTCGCTTGCGCTACGAAAATGCCAAAAGTAAAACGTTACATGTGCCATGGAATTGTTACAATCATCTGGTGTGGTTTCGACTCGTGTCTTCAAACGTTTTCCAGTATTTGTCTGTGCTAACCGTTGATTGTACACTTTTTCAGTGACAATTTTTCCTTTCCACATGTAACGTTTTACTTACGGCATTTTCGGAGCGCAAGCGAAAACTAACCTCAAACGATGCGTCTGTATATTACACGTGCTCAGAGCACACTTTCGATACACAGGAGGCTCTATTGGAAAAAGTAACGGACCTCTGTAGTATTTGTTATCCTTTACGGAGAGTGACGGAGAGAGAGGTTCTAATGTGACGTCATAGTGCGCTGTTGCCGGATCTCTGTACTTACGAGTTCAGTGAGACCAAGCGAGACTGTTCTCTGTTTGGTTTTTATTCAATATTTCAGAAAATATCCTCGAAGTCATAATTTTTTTGGTTCTAATTTGTTTGTAAGATGTTTATTAATATTTCTGCAAAGTTTTAAAAGGATGCCATATTTTCTTCGATATTAATTTCTTAAATAAAGTTGAAAAAACAGTGAAACTTGATGAATTCCCATAAGAGCCCATGTTAAATTCAAATTGTTATAACTTTTGAACGGGCTTCGCAAACTTGTTTAAACTTGGCACAATGCTTTATTATTATAATACTCATCACCTGACAAAGTTTGAAGAATTTGGCATTTTTTCTTCTAAGGGGTCATACAACCTTAACCGCGGTTGGAATAGGAGAGGGAGCGTAGCGCAATCATCACACTCGAATAACAAAGAACATAAAGGCCGTTTCCCAGCAAGGTGACACAGTGCGACACTGTGCGACACACTCGAACACTGTGTATGAGTGTTTGTTGGGACGCAAAACTCGACCATTGTGGACACATTTATATTTTCGCAAGGATTTTTTACTAGAATAATTTTAAAGCAGTAAATAAGTTATGTTTAATGTAAAAGCAGTAAAAAAGTTATGTTTAAACAAATAAAATAAATAAAAAACTAGTGCTGATATAAAAGGTGAATGTTACAATAACAATTCACATGGATAGTATTAAAAAATAGTAGTTTTACTCAAATATACGATGAAATGTTAATAATCATTTTTCTGCAAACGAGGTAATTTGTTTGATACAATCCTACGGGTATGTATACAGTGAGTACAGCCGAACATACTCTATAATTTATCAGTTTTCTAGATTATAATAGTATGATATTCTTGTTTTATAGATGGACAACGATGATAAAATTAATTGTCAACTTGCTGAAACATATTTTAGCAGCAGTAGCAGTTCAACAGCCAGTGCTATGAGTGAATCAAGCAGTACAGAAGATAGCGCGAGTTCATCTAGTGGTGATGGTGAAGAAGACGACGACTTATTGTTATTCCCACTAATGCTTTACTTGACAAGTGGACAAAGGAGACACCGCATTCAAAATTATCTTCAGATTATTGATTCTTGGACTAATAAGGAATATAAACAACATTTACGACTAAATCGGTGTACTGCATCAAAATTAATTGGTAATATATATATACATTGTGCATTAGTGTTTCATTCTACACCTACAATGGTATTATACAATAATAACACTTTCTTTTCAGATGAATTGGAGTTATCCAATTTTATACCTTCACATTCTTTTGGAGTCAAACCTATTTCTGCAAAGTTAAGTTTTCTACTATTTTTTATAGTATATCGCAAATACAGAACCATTGCGAACCATGTCAGACAGATTTGATGTATCCATTTCTTCTGTATTTCGAGTTCTACGGCGAGTAGTAACTTGGCTTTTAACAAAATTTGATTCAGTGATCAAATGGCCACAGGGCCTTGAAGCTGTAGTTGCAAATGAACAATTTTTGAAGAAAGGTATTCCGAAAGTCTTAGGAGCGATAGATGGAACACATATCCGAATAGAAAAGCCTCTAGACCGTGCACGAGAGTATTGCAATCGAAAAAAATATTTCTCAATCTCTTTGCAAGCAGTTGCAGATGCAGATATGCGGTTTATCAATGTGTATTGTGGTGACCCCGGTTCCCTTCATGATGCTCAAATTCTCAGAAGATCTGAGCTATATCATGAAGCATCTATGAATCAAGAAATATTATTCCCCGATAAGATGTTTTTGTTAGGCGATTCGGCATATCCGTCATTACCTTGGCTTGTTCCACCATTTCGAGACAATGGACATTTAACGCCTCAACAAGTAGAGTTCAACTATATTCATTCTTCAACGCGAATGGCAATTGATCGAGCATTCGGTCAACTGAAAGGATGATTTCGCCGTATTAAGTTTTTCACTGAATATCGCGATTTACCTTTTGTCGTTAACACTGTAGTTGCAGCATGTATATTACACAATTACTGTATTGAGAAAAATGATACATACGATTTTCCAGAAGTTTTAAATGATTGTACCAGTGGAATTACTAATGATATTGAACAAGAAGAAATAGATAATAGAACAGCTGGGATAGATCGTAGAACTGAATTATTTTATGAATTGTTTCCTAACTGTTTATGAATACCGACTAACAATGATTTTATTCTTTTTATTATTTGCTACTTTTTGAAATTCTGTGGTTAAGTAAAAAAGAAGTTTTATTCTTATAAAAATATAATTAATTTTGCTATAAACTCGAGTGCTTGTTGCTATACGAGTATCAAGTAGTCCAAAAGTATTTTTGAGCTGATCAGCCAATGTGTGTGTGTGTGTGTGCGCGCGCGTGTGCGTGAGTGAACTAATTTACTACTTATGTATTTTTTATTACGCGTATTAAACAATCAGTGTAATCTATGATGTAGGCCATGATATTATGTAACAAGTGAATGTATGCCTGTATACAGTTTAATACATTTATTTTTTTCCTCAAAGAACGCTTATTTAGTTATAATACTAAAATAATACCAAAACAATCACATTTATGTTGCTATATCATATATATATACATATATAAGTAGAATTTTTTTAAAAAACAACATTTCTTACAACTATAAGAATTATTATGATTCTACAGAGATCAAAATACATGAAAGACTGGATGGATTCCGTAAAGCGCATATGCGCATTATCTATTAGTATAAGTATACGTAACGTGTACTATAGCTACATCTATAATGACTTTGTTCGTA